TTTAATTTTCTTTCCTTTGTTCCTTCTCTTCTCATAAAATGTTGATTTTCTAAACTTAAAACATGAAATTTATACTTCTCTTATGAAAATTATGGATAATTATTAAGAAAAGATGGTTATGGAACCTAGGGAACTACCCTAGGATATATGGTTTTACTTAAAAAAAATCCATCGCCTAGGCCCCCTGTCGCCTAGCCTCACCTTGGCGCCTTAAAAACTATGATGTAGAGGTATAAATATCTACCGAGAGCCAAAAAGAGCAATAAGAAACATACTGAATTCTCTTCATCTTCATCTTCTTTTCATCTCCTTCTCTTCCCTTGTATCCATTTCTGGAGGAAGAGCTCCCTCAAAGAACCTTAGCTTTTCATTGAAGTCTATTTACTGGTACCAGAGCCAGGTTCTGGGATGCCCACCACCAGATCCAGTGCCGTAGACAGTCGTGTTGACCAAATGGAAGAGCACCTTCACCGGATTGATGGGAATTTGAAAGAGATGAAAGAAGCCTTAGCAACCTTCATTTCTCAGTTCAAGAGAACCTCCTCAAAGGCTAACAAGGAAAGCAAATAGGAAGGATCCAGCAACGACAGTCATCGGGAAATCTTCCTGGACAAGAAATCAAGATCAACTTCCCCATTTTCTCAGGTGATGATCATGTGCCCTGGATTAATAGGGCTGAACAATATTTTGCATTCCATTCCATGAAGTCCCTGCCTCCTAGAGGCTGCAAATCATAGCGATTCACATGGATGGTGAAGCAAATCTTTGGTATCAGTGGTACCGAAGATCTCATCCACAACTTACCAGGCTTGACTTCATCGAAGCTCTTAATGTTCGATTCGGCCATTCTGGGTATGAAGACTTTGATGAATCTCTAGCTGAGCTATGTTAGACATCTCTTATGCGATGTTGGGGGGTATCAGACTTTGATGAATCTCACAACGATTCACATGGATGTTGAACTAGTGAAGGATGTTGGGGGGTATCAGAGATTAGTGGGGTGATTGCTATACTTATGTATGACACGACCAGACATCTCTTATGCAGTGAGTATGGTGAGTCAATACATGCATGCTCCACGAGTTCAGCATTGGGAGGCTATTGACAGGATACTTTCTTATTTGAAAGGACACCCGGGTAGAGACATATTGTTTGCTGACAATGGACAGTTGAAGTTAGAGGTTTACACAGTTGCTGTTTGGGTAGGATGTCTAGATGACAGGAGATCTACATCAGGAGTTTGCACTCTTGTCGGAGGTAATCTAGTTTCATGGAAGAGTAAGAAACAATAGTTGTGGCAAGGTCAAGTGCAGAAGCTGAATACAGAGCCATGGCACATGGTGTTTCAAAGCTCCTCTGGATCTGTTCCTTGTTAGGGGAGATTGGGATTGAGGCAGAAGAATCTATGATGCTATAATGTGACAATCAAGCAGCAATTAACATTGCCCACAACCCAGTTCAGCATGATAGGATGAAGCCACATCGAAGTGGACAGACATTTTATAAGGGAAAGGGTGACCTCCGGAGAAGTTTGCTTGCCATATGTTGCATATGACTTGCAGTTTGCTGATGTTCTTACAAAAGGTGTTGCAAGAAACAAGCTATAGCATGATCTACACTAGTTGGGAATGTGTGACATTTATTCCCAACTTGAGGAGTGTTGAGTTGTGGGCCGATTTTATTTGTTTTTTTTACATAACTTAGTTAGGTAGTTGTTGGGCCTTAGGCCCATTAGTTTATGTTTAAGTTAAGTGTGACTTTTCAGCTTCTTACAAGTAGCTGACCTACTAAGGGCATACCTGTACTTGTACACTCTTTACTTATGAGTATATAATCTAATGAAAGGGGCGGCCAGATTAGATTTTTGACTTCTCCTCCATTCTCTTCTATCTCTCTTCTCTTTCTTTCTAGCAGAAACCTTTTCTTCTCTTCTTTCTTTTCTTCCTTTTACAGATTTTATATCAAAACAGGTTATCAAATATTTTCTACTCTATTTAGTGCCATATCCATTGATAAATTGTGAGCTCTTAAATAATTTCTTACTACTTCAACCCATGTTCTTTTTGGTCTGTCCCCTAGCCCTTCTAGTCCCTTCAACTTGCAACAGATTGCTTCTTTTATGGATGCTGTAGATGGGATTCTATGAACATGACCAAACCATCTTAGTCTACTTTCTCTTATTTAATCACACCTATTGGAGCTACTCCTAGGTTCCTTCAAATGACTTCATATCTGACCCTATCCTTTCTAATTTCAGAAACATAATATTTGCGAATCAAAACAAGCCCTAGATGAACATCAAGATAAACATGTAAAAAAGTACCTCCTTTAATTTCAGTCTTGCTTTAAATTTAGCAACAAGATCCTGTGTTGTTAAATGGCTTGTTGCCAACAGTACTGCCCTGATTTCATCTTCAGTGACAGGACCAGTTGGTGCTGTTGATCCAGATGATGCCAATGCTTTTTGGGGTGCACTACATCTGGAAGTGGACATGGGCTCATCCTTCAGAGAGGATTTTGATTCCTGAACCAGAAGGAAAGGGCACAATGAGAGGTGCAAAAAAGGTATCATGTATAACCCAAAAGAAAATCCAACACCAGAAGCATTATCTGTTAACTGAAAAATCAAGTAGATTCATTCTTTAAGATCCATATATATATATATATATATATATTGCAAACAAATGATGACATACATTTTCAAACTTCCCTTTTTTTGAAGGTGCACCATTAGCAACTTTTCCATCATCCCCACCAGATTTTCTCTTTGCCTTTGCTGACTTGGATGTAGAAGGTGTTCCTCGAGCAGTCCCTGAAGATAATGGTTTTGAGGGGTTGCTCTCAGCAGGTTCTTCTTTTGGTGCATCCTTCTTCTTTGGAGCCAATACAGGGGACAGACCAAACTCATCTTCCACCTAAAATGCCAAAGAAAAGAACATAATAAATTATAAAACTGAGCATGCCTGCTTACTGAAATGATTACTCTGATAAATCTCCTTAGGTTGGCCATACATCAGCATCAAAGTCTTAAAAAGAGGGTGCTTACAGCACAGTGCTAAGACAAGTAAATGAATCATGATTGTAGCTTGGTTACATCTTACAAGAAGATCTACAAATGTTTCAGTATGCTATAGTTTATAGTTTTAGTTATGCACCACATGAACTTACATCTTCATCATCATCATCATCCTCAGCATCCGAATCGTTCAGCCCACCTGCTCTACCAAGCAGCTTCTTTAGTTCCTTTCCAGATTTGCTAAGTCCTCCCTCTTCCTCATTAGCTTCATCTTCATCCTCTTCATCCTATGCATGTGCAAAGCACAAAAAAAATTTGCATGAATATTCACTTGTTGCAACTCTATGGATCAAAGAAGTAATAAATTCAATACTAAGAAGAATCCCTAAGCAGTACAGAAAAGTTAAAAATAACGTAGTGCTAGTACACTAATGCACATCTGAAGTAATACATTTTGATATATAAGAAAACCCTTAATGTATATGTTAGAGTGAGCCGAATAGGGGTAGTTTAGTAATCTCATGTTAGTTAAGTACTTTGCTTATGTGGCTGTTTTATTAAAGTACTCTGCCCCACACTTAAGTGAGGGCAGTTTAGTCTTTGTAARTGTAATTAGAACCTAATAAACATTAGGGGGTCGACTGAATGTGAGACTAATCAGTTTCAACTAAACCCTCCTGTTCTCTCTTTCTCTTGTCTTCTTCCTCATCTTCTTCTTCCTTCTTCACTGGTTTGGGTTACTGTAGCTGCTCCAAAACAGTATAGAACAATACTAAAAGGAGTTAAACATCAAAAGGAGACTAGTTCATTTGTACCACCAGATAAAGTTGTGTTTATTTTTCCTCAGTCCTTGAAATTAATTTTCTATACCATGGTTAGCTGAGAATAATTTCTTTTTGTTCCTTCAGTTATGAATTACAGGAACTCTGCATGTTGCTAGTCTCAAATTCCGGTTATGATTCCTTTTCTTTTTCTACTTCTCTGGTACCTACAAAGCCTGACCTTTCCCCACTGAAAAAATTTTGCAAGGGTCCACATCAATTGTGTAGATTATAATTATCTGAAGATATATTGTTCTAACATATTGAAAGGTTCCATTTCCAAATTAAGTATTTGAAACTAACTCTGCTACTGTCTTGGTAGCATTCTTATATTCCATAACCAATCCAACTACTATCTGCTGTATGTCCAGAGATGACTCTCCATTAATTTCATAAGGAATTCCTCCAAGTTCACAATCAAGAAATGACTGCATTGAATTTTATGGCAGGTACATTATCATTAACATCCATTAAGTAAAAAATCAGGTTCACACCCCAATAAAGTTTAATTTTGATGGGTGTTGCCTTGGGAACCCTGGACCCTCGGGTGGGGGTGCTGTGAGAGATCAGCATGGTAATATCCTTCTTAGTTTCACAGGCCTAGCAGGGAGGGGTAATTCTTTAAGGACAGAAATGCTTGCGGTAATTCAAGGTTTGAAATTATTACAGAAGCAGGGGTGGAGAGATGTGATTGTTGAAGGGGACTGTCAGACTGTAATTTTTTGGATGAAAACTGAAGATCAATTACTCTAGGAGTTTAGGCAGCTGGTGAGGGGGGCAGTAGCAATTGGAATTTTGTTGAATGCCTCATTCAATTGGGATCCTAGGTCTGCAAATGTGTTGGCAGACTCCTTAGCAAGAGCAGGGGTGGGGAAAGAGTATTTAGTTTGGGGTTGCCCAGGTCTGGGCTTTAATTTGTAAACCTTATATGCTGGGGTGTTGTTTTTAGTGGTGACTATAATCCTTTGTATTCTGGTTTTGGGCTCTACTGCTCTTTCTGAGTAGTTGGAGCTTATTTTAATATATATTCGGTTACTTATCCAAAAAAAGAAGAAAATATAAGTGGAATCATTTATACCACTTAAATAGTTGCATATTACAAGTACTAATAGACTGGGCAGGTACAGCCACCTGTCAACATCATACGTTTCACAATCTCAAGTGGTATGAATAGCCAAAATTGACAGACTTAGCTGCTAAAGGGGAATGTAGAATGAAAGAACTGATATGGATAGTTTGTGGGTTTTGATGCATCTTCTTCACTACACCAATAAAAAAAATGCTACTGTGCCTTTTTTGGCTAGGTAAGCCTATGCCTTACAAAAGCAGGTGAATTTTTTTACTGTTTTGTCTTTCTTTCTTTCTTTTTTTTTTTTTTTTGGTTGGGGGAGGGGGGTGGACAGTTGATACAGTTTTAATACCAGGTTCACCGGTCACTTTCTTCAACCTCTCTGTATTCTCTTTCTTTTGCCCTAGTTAATGAATTCTTCCTTAATAATCAAATGGAAAGCGATCTAGGAGAAAGAATGACAGTCAAAACAAAACCTGTTTGATTTCCGGAGGTGCAGGAACCTCAGGAGCTAAGTCTTCTCGCTCCTCAGGATCATTACCCACAGCTTCATCATCATCAGTGAAAATTTCTTCATGCTCCCAGTCATCACCTATAAAGAACCAGCAATAAAACAATAAATAAGCAGCATATTAATTGAAGATACACTCTTAGAGTGCCACTCTCAATATAACTAATTACACAATATATTCAGCATTGATAACTCATCATGGCAACAATTCCATCTGAACTAAAGTTTATGAAGCACATTCCAACCAAAAAATAAAGTAGTTTATGAAGCCCAAAATAAGAGATCATGTCCAGCATCTAAGGTAATAGAATATAAAAACAAGATATGCTTACCCTTCTCAATATCATCATCATCCAAATCATGATCACCTCCTCTGGGACCTTCATCATCATCACCACCTCCTTTTCTTAGTCCAAGTCTAGTTTTCCTTGCCTCCTCTTCTTCCTCGTCTTCCTCTCCCTTATCTGAGACCTTCCCTTCGTCATCATCACCAGTTGCTTTTCTACGTCCCCTCCCACCACCCCCACCACTTTCCTTGTCATCAAACTTCTCTACTTCACCAAAAGCAGCAGGCCCATTATTTGCCACTTTCATCATCCATCTTTCATATCCATCTGCAGTTTTCCGCCTATTCTTCATTTTCTCTTCAGCTTCTTCTAAGGTAAGTTGCTTATATTGGGCAACTTTATTAAAATTGTACCTAAGGATGAAAGACATCAAACATCCATTACAAACATTGTTAAAGAATATAAAAAAATACTTTCTTAAAAAAAATAATAAGGGTTTTTATCTGAAACTCCCCCTAGCTTTTGGATTCTCTTAAATTTACCATGACTTTTTGATACCTCCAAAGACCCCTGTCAGACACCTTCATCTATAGGACACCCACCTTCCATTAGGTCTCTGTTAGTGATGATGACAGAAGTGAACCACTGCACCATTAATATTTGTTTAATGACAAAATTAACTCTGATCAATTTATCAACCTATAAACTATTTTTTTATTATAAAAATACCCCTGGTTCATTTCTTTCGCCTATCTTATGTTCTTCTCTCATTTTACAATCCATCAACAGTTCATTTCAGCTTCTCATTTATTCCTCAGACGAAATAGGTTTTAAGCTTTCGCCTTCACCTCTACATCAAGCAAATGGTTACAAGTATTTTGGTTTAAAGGCCAGAGATGAACAGAGGGGTTCCTGGAGGTATCTAAAAGTTAGGGTAAGTTTAAGAGAACCCCAAAAAAGTGAGTGGGTGTTTCAGATAAAAACTCAAAATTATGTTATCTATCAAATAAATAAATAAACCCAAAATTAAAGGAAAAAAGAAAAAGAATTGTATGCCTTCATTGAATTAAAGTTTAAAAAGTGTAATATAAAAGAATATAAATACTAAATAGAAAGCAATCTGGATATAATTACTAACTATGACATGCATGCAACCATTAAAATTTACTTGTTCTCAGATGAAGACAGTTGGGAAAAAAAGAACATAAGGCTATAGACTCAAGCATAACTTAAAGATTGCATATGTTGGTATGCATACCAAGAACCAGCAGGGATAGCAACAAATTCCTTCCCTTGCATCATGAGCAGATAATAAGCTGTTGATTGTGCACCCTCAATCTGACCATGATACTGTTGGCCCGTCTCATCCTCCAAAAGCCAAGGCTTATTCTTGTACTTCTCCTATTTGATGCATTGTCATAAATTAATGATACAACAAATTGAAAATAAGTGAGAAGGAGAACATACAAGTGAATCCATAGAGAACATTGGTAGGACTAGCTTGCTGAATAGCTCAAAACAGTAGGATATAATCACATTAAGTCCATAAATGATGTTCAATAATCATTAATTTCCTTTTCTCCTCCCTCTACCAACAGGCCATACATTTCAAAAAAATATACTGGTAACATTCCAAGCCAGCATTATGAAGATGCCCATGTCCATTTATGTGAATATGTGATCAGCTGGCTGGTCAGCTGTGTGTAAGGTTATGACTTAGGTGCCAAGCTCTTGCCAGATGTCAGCATACAGTAAAAAAATGCAAAAAAACAAAAAGAACCTAAATAAATAAAACTCCTAACTATATAATTTAACCGTACTGACTGTACTGTACACTATAAATTAAGTTAAATGAAGCTAGGTATCTCCCAGCTCGAAAGCATACCTTGGCAATCTCCTAGACCTGAAAAGATGCACTCAGATAAACCTAGAAATGCTTAGCAACTGCAGTCAACCAGACTCTTAGGTGGCAACAATTAACAAAATCGTTCTAACTACCTATTTCCCAATCTAAAAAAGTAATGCCAGACCAGGGCAGAACATGAAATAAGATGAAATATCAACATTCAGTCCATGGTCCTTAACTGCCCTATTGAACAGCTCATTCGGGTGAATTCATTGTCAGCTAACATTAGTAGGCTTCCTAGCTAGGAGTAGAAAAACAAGACCTTGAGTGGGGGCTCAAGGGGACAGCAATAGAGCTAAGGATTCCTTTTATGTAATATCAGTAATTGTCATATATAGCTGTTTTCTGTTTTGATTTTGAAGGTTAGTGTGCTTTTCCCCGGCTATTAGACATCCTTAATGCCAGAGTTCTTTTCCTCATCATCACTATCAATAAAATTCTTTTCATTGTTCGTTGATTAAAAAAAGAAAGAAAGATCAACCCCCTGTCCAACTGCAATTGAATGAAGAGAAACGAGGTAGAAAGGAATGTTAAGAAGGGATCTTAATGTCCCAAAACTGAGAGTAGAAGAACATATAGGAAAGATGATGCAAGTTTACAAAAAAGAAAAATAAGCTTGAAAGAGAAATCCAAGTCTGAGAAAACCCAAGATTCAATATATGCCTCTTATTTCAGAGTTGGGGTCTTATATAGTTGGCTCTCCATTACAACCAAAAAGACAAATATCTTTGTGTGGCTATTGTAATGATCTCCGGCACTGGATCTGTTGGTGTGGCATTCAAGCCCTTCTGCCTTCAGGTGAATTGATGAGAGTAGGGTGCTTAGAGTGCCTAGAGTCTACTAATAGACCTAAGCCTTCATTCACATAGGCTGGGTGGGTCTCAACAATCCCTCCCGCCTTGAGAGTGACCTTGCCCTCAAGGTCCAGGTTGGGGAATTTCTCATTCAGCTGTATGTAGGGTTCCCAGGTGGTGTCCTCTAATAGAAACCCAGCCCATTCTACCTATGCCTTGGGTATGACCTGGTTGCCTTTGCACACCCAGAAAAAGTCCACTATACCAGTGAGCTTGTGGCTGTGGCCTGTGGCTCAACCTCTTTCTTTAGAAGGGAAATGTGGAACACAAGGTGTAAATTGGATGTGGTCGGCAACTCCAACCGATAGGCCACAGGACTCACCCTTTTGAGGATCTTAAATGGCCCAAAGTACCTGAGAGCAAGCTTGTGCCAAGCCCTCGTTGCCATAGAGACTTGGCGATAGGGCTGAAGTTTGGGGTAGTGATGTAGCAAGGGTACAAAACCAATAGAAAACAATAGAAAGAAGTGATAAATCTTGACATGAAACAGTAAACTTGAAGCGGGAACAAAGAACAACCCACCTTTAGGGCTGAAATCACCACTTCCATTGATAGTATATGCCTTTACGGTTTGAAAACAATGAAAAGATCCTTCTACAAACAAGATACGAGGCTTATAGATACCTCCAAGCAAAGTGACGCCCTAACACCCAATTTGACCAAAATACCTCAACCTAAGCGACTCATATTCAAAAGGCAAGACAGAAGGAGGATCCTGGCCATAGAGGGCCTTGAAGGGTGTCATGCCCGCTACTGACTGAAAAGGTCAAATTGTACCTGTATTCAGCCCATAGCAATCAATGGGCCAATTACCTAGGTTTTCCTCCTACAAAGTATTCTGTGGGTGATAGCTAGTGGAATCATAGAATTGCATCCCTTGGAGGCTTCCAAAATTCAGGACCGCCAGGTATTGCAGGGTGTTCGGAGACTCCATAGGGAGGCTGGTGTCTATGTATTCAAGACCTATTGGAGTGAGAGATTTTTTGAAAGCTGAGCTTATGGCCTTACTGCAAGGCCTAAGACTAGTAAAACAATCAGACTTTTGAAGTCTGGAAGTAGAGGGGGACTCAAAGTTAATCATCACTTGGGCAAAAGGCCTATGCCGACCCCCTTGGACTTATAGGCATGTCTTCAAGGAGATCGATTGCTTATCAAGGGAGTTAGGCACTCCCTACTTATGGGTCAGAAGATCTACAAATGGGATGGTGGATACACTAGCAAAACACGGGGGTTAATAAACATTAGCTATTTTGGGCAACAATGTAAATCTTATGTATTTGGATGGTTGTTATATCTCAACCAGATGTACTAAAAGTCCCTCTTTGAATTAATAAAACTTTCTTCTTTACTAATAAAAAAATGACTGAGGAATGGGGGTTCCGATTAGAAACAATAGATCTAAGTGTCCCATGATGCCGTACAAGGGTGTGGTAATGCTGAAAAATGCCCATAGTTGGTCAACCAATGGTGACCATTTTACTAGATGAACAAGTAAGCCTTGAGACAAAATCCATAGGGATGTCTTCCCACACCTGCTCAAGTATATTGAGGGGTTGCAATAGCCATGCCGCTGCCTGAGACTGTAGATATACTTGATGTAATGTTGTTCTATGGTCCCTGTTGTACCATAGCATTCTTTTTCTTTCTTACCTTGCAGCCCTCCAAGGGCCTCTTTGTAATTATTCTTTTTTATCTTTATCCCTTCAAGGACCTCTTTGTAAATACTTATAACTAATAAGTTATATAGGCTCTTTGGAGGTGGGGGTTGGATATACTGTTTGACACCCCTGAAACTCTTGGTGTTCTCTCAACCTAGAAGATTGATAGAGACAAGTACTTCTATTGTTGGCATACCCCAACTCTGCCATGTGTTGCTGGACATCCTTACACATACCCATCAATGGCTGCCTAGACGCTTCAAGGTGAGTAGAATCTGGAGCCCCCCAAGGACAAGTCATGAAACAACCTTAAGAGCTTGGGTATATGGGCTAACTTAGGGGCCACAATAAATCTTCCCTTGTAGAAAAAGTCCAGCCCAATTAAAGCATAGCCAACAGCTTTCAAGGGGTCTTTTTGTAATTTGTCTCTAATCAACTACAATTTGGGGTCTAGCTTGGCCTTCTGGCGAATGGACTCAAAATGAGGGTATGTGGGTTGGGAACACATTAGTGCTTTCATCCAATCAATGACCTGGTCAGTTGAACCATTCAAACCATCATCCAGCCATGGTTCTAGGTCTTGTTAGTAGAAAAGTGCTGAAATAAAAAATCTGTAAAAGAAAAGAATATTTCTTGTAGAAGAAGAGAAGAAAGGAGAAAAGGAAGAGAAGAGATTTGAGAGAGAAAAGAAAGCAATAATGATGGCTGCCCTCTTCACTATTATTTATAGTCTAAAAAAATAAAGAGTACAAAGACCAATATGCCCTTATAGGGCAGTTAACACATAAAACAATTAAAATAACTACTCAAAAAGGACCCAACAAGAGTGTTGTGGTCCCCACTTCCAATCTAAATGGTAAATAATCAAAAGCTACCACTATAGACTACACAATTTGTCTAAAACCTCAACACTCCCCCTCAAGTTGGGAGTAAATGTCACACATTCCCAACTTGCGTAGGTTGTATTCAAACCTGTTCTTTGCAACCCCTTTGGTGAAGATATCAACCAAATGTAGTTCAGAGCAGACATAAGGAAAGCATGCTTCTCCAGTTGTCACCCTTTCTCTTATGAAGTGCCTATCAACCTCAATGTGTTTAGTCCTGTCATGCTGAATTGGATTGTGGGCAATATTGATTGCAACTTAGTTATCACAATATAACATCATGGGCTCCTCAGCTTTTATTCCAATCTCACTCAGTAGAGATCTCACCCAAAGTAGTTCTCAAACACCATGAGCCATAGACCTATATTCAGCCTCTGCACTTGATCTAGCCACAACTGACTATTTTTTACTCTTCCATGAGACCAAGTTTCCTCCCACAAAGGTGCATACGCCTGATGTAGATCTCCTGTCACCTAAGCAACCTGCCCAATTTGCATCTGTATAGGACTTCAACTTTAAATTTTCATGGTCTAAGAAAAAAATCCCTCTGCCAGGATGCTTATTCAAGTATGCAAGTATCCTCTTAATGGCTTCCTAGTGCTAAACCCGAGGAGCATGCATATATTGGCTCACAACACTAACATCATAGGAGATGTCTGGACGTGTCATACATGAATATAGTAGCTGGCCTACCATCCTTTGATATCTTTCCACATCCTTAGCCAATTCACCATCCAAAGCATTAATTCTATGATTCGGGTCAATAGGAGTATCAACTAGTTTAGTTCCTAGCTTCCCAGTCTCTTGTAGTAAGTCCAACACATATTTTCTCTAAGAGATGAAAACCCCATACTTGGATCTTGCAACCTCAATCCCCAGAAATATTTCAGCTCACCTAGATCCTTGATCTCAAACTCTTGCTATAGTGACTTCTTGAGTGCATCAATCTCCTTCAGATCATTTCCTACAACAACTATATCATCTACATATACAATCAATACTGACAAGAGTGCCTCTCTCCTTTTTACAAAGAGAGTATGGACGAATTGAGTTTGTGTGTACCCAAACAGATAAGTACTCCTATGAACCTATCAAACCA